TACAAAAAAAAAAAAAATTCTAGAACTGTTTAGATAAGTGTTAGAATATTTTCAGCCAAATGACATTCACTTATGCTGGAGCTGATTCTGGCTGCAGTCTGAGCTCCACTGAATGTCTTTCAGTTTGCAGCAATATGATATGCTGTGAATGTTCCAGATGAGCACAGTTTTCATTGGAAAGGCCTTCTCTACAAAGTCTTTCAATGTACTTGTGTTTTCAACGAAAAGCAGGTAGATTCAGATGATAACAGCGTTTTATTTAGGGAGGTATTTTAGACAATAGTGATCTCAGGTCTAATCCATATTCATCATGAAACTATCATGACCTGAAATCTGTGTGACATACCTTCTCTGTAGACCACCATATTCAGTGAGGTCCATCTTGTCTCTTATAATATAGCAGTATAAGTGGCTATAATACCATCATACATAATTTGATTAACAAATAAAACATAGATTTATTTTATATTTTGGACAAACTGAGCAACCTTCACTCACAAAAAAAGGAAAAGTAACACACCTGGTCCTGATGCAGCAGAACACTGTGAATTCCACACCTTTAATCCCAATACACAAGCATTATTCAGAACAGGTCTGCATAAAAGAGCAACATGCATACTTCAAAGATGTGACAGGTCTTGATTCTCCAAAAAGAAATCCTCCTATTTATTTATTTATTTATTTATTTTTATATTTTTCCAATACAGCGGCATACAGAAAAGACAGAAAAGCTATTATGGCAAGTTTGGGGTGCCAACTGGAGAGAAGTGCATCTTTGGAAAAATGTTTTCCTAAAGAAAAGCACATGTGGCTCTGAAGGATTGCTCCCCCTAAAGCTACCGTCAGAAAAGTAGAAATGAGAATTGCAAAGGGGGCTTTGCAATTCCGTCACGTAGTCTGGCTCCGGACCGGTTGCAGAGCAGTCTGGGTATTCGGTTGTTTTTTTTTTCTGCTGTTGGTCTGGAGCAAAACTGATGTTTCCATGGTGTGATGGTTCGTCGTGGATGCACTGATGACTACAGTGGAAGAATCATTTTAAATTTCACAGTTCTAGATTTTTATTAAAGAATTATTTGACAAACTTTTGATAAACTGAACCTTGCGCTGACTTTGGACCTTAGAAACCGAGTCTTTACGTGAATAGCGAGTTTGTTCTGTTCATTTTAAACCGATTTACCTCTTAGCCTCTTTGTTATTATTTCCTTACTATTTTTGGTGATGTGTTACAGGTAAAAATTCTGGAGAAGCAAAAAAAATTAAATATTTCAGATCTATGCTGTCAATATTAAATAAAAGTAAAAGTAAAGATAGAAAATACCTTTTAAAATTGTGAATTTTTGTATGACTATCATTGCCTGAAGGTATATGATTAAAAGAAGTGTTGGACACATTGAAACAATTTCATTATCAACTTGTTGTGTTGCTCATGTTCTTTGTAGCATGACAAAAATACCTTTATTAATAGCAACGTATTGCAGTTCGGCTTATATTCCTAACATCCAGGGCTCTGAAAAACTAAAGTAACCCTGGTTTTGACAGTAACTATTGACACTCACCTATAGCATTCCATTAATAATGTTTATTTTACATATAAATGAACATGTAAACAATAAGGTCATTGTACCTGCTGGGTTAAAAGGATAAAAACCAGTGAGGTGGCTGGCTGACAGCTAATTAGTCATGTTCACTTTCCCACGTTCATTACATAGAGGTCATGAGGAGTGGGCTGCGAGGCTCTGGGGATCAAAACGTGATAACCTCTGCTGTCAGGCAGACTGGCTCTGGTATGAAGGAGTGGACAGGATGGTGGTCCTGGAGAGAGACCACCACCCTCTCCTCTCAGACTGGGAGAGGTAAAACATGAGGAAAGATAAAGCACATCATAAACAGTAATGGCTTGAAAGGAAACAGGTGTGGGGGGGAAAAAGGAGGTGATTAAATAAAACGCATACAGTGCTGGGTTAAAGTATGTGTACCTTGTATATTGTGTTCACAGGTTGTCACAAAATCTTTGTAGAACCTAATTTTACTAAAATTACAACTAAATGCAGGGCATCCGCGCATCCTTAAGTCTTAATTTCATGTATCTAAAATGTCTTAAATTTGTTTAAGAAAAAAGTAAGTTGGCCTTAAATATGCTAATCACTCGTCTTAAATGTTGCCATGGCAGGACTATTTAATCCTTTATATTCAGGAAGATTCTTTTCTTGCAGCATGTTTCTGTGAGGTAAAGGTTTGAGTCATGTACAGACATCTTTATCCCTGCGACTCAACGCTAACTAACTGCTAATATAACCTCGCTAGCTAGCTAACTTTTTTGCCACTATCATGCAAATTTATCAGCAGTTGGCTGGGTGACATCATTCCTCTTGCCAACCCAAATGATGATATGACGTAAACTCTGCAGTTGGAGGTTTTGTGGATTTTAAACATGGCGTTAAGCTATTGAAGAATTTTATTCTAACAAAGTTGTTAGGAAAATACAGCTGAGAAAGAGGAGATTAAGGAAAAGCAGAAGAGGATGGAATCAAGAGAATAGAGCCACAGATGCAGCTGTGATGACAAATAAGGAAAAGATTAAGAGGAGCTGTAATCAATGCCCTCAACTAACTTTAAGAATGTGGCAAAATCTATCTTCTCTGTACATTTCTACTATTATACAGGTCTTAAATTTAATCTATAATGGTCTGAAAAGGTCTTAAGAAGTCTTAAATCTGAGTTGTTGAAACCTGCAGAAACACTGTAAATGTCTTTACATGTAGGGATTGAAAGCTTCACCTATTGTTCTTTACAAAATGGAACAAACTCCATTTTAAGGCTCGCCACAGTGTCTCATTGGGTCTGGACTTTGACTGGGCCGTCCTAAAACACATGTATGCTTTGATCTAAACCATTCCATTTTGTGATGACATGTGAGTTTAAAGTCATGATGGAAGGGGGATCTTTCTGAATTAAAGTAAAAACATGAAAGACAGTTTTTTATTTGGTCTTTTACATGAAATCCATCAAAATAAATTGAAATTTGTGTTTTGTAACATGACAAATTGTAAGAAAGATGTAAAAAGAAAAATAGCCAGAATACAGCTGGTCCAAAGAGGACATAAAGCAAAAGACAGAAGAAAACACAGACAGAGACGTGCTGGCAGACCAGAAGACGCTTTGATGAAAGCTGCTGATTGACTTTCCAGGATGAACAAAGTCCTTGTATGCGCCGGCTGTTATCCAAAAGAGCAGCTCAGACTGACACTAATTATCCATAATACCAACATAGAAATAGCAACGCGGGGATTCTGGGAAGTATTGAGAATGACTGAACTATGTCTGTGTTTTAAATAGTTCTGCTGCTGTTATCGGGAGATGCATCTCCAGAGGTCAGAGGAGGGATGGAGGATGAGATGGAGTACCCTGCAGGCGGCTGGACAATGTGGGAGTGTTTCAGAAATATTTTGGGTTGGAGCATGTTGTAGGGTATGCTTGATGTTAGTTTAACATGTTAATTACATGTCTTCACTTCATGGGAGGTATTGTCTACTGATAGACAGAAAGATTGTTAAATATTTTAACTTGTCGTTCGTAGCCATATTACATCTTCAAAAGTGACAGCAGACAACGGTTTTTAGTGCATCTTTAAATGACATATTACATAGAAAGAAGAAGATGGCAGACGCCCCAGAGGAAGTAAATATTTATTCGAACTGTAGTCAGCGTTATTTCTAGGCTAGCATGTGTCCAATGTCCCCATGGCAACCAACTGCTTTATTGGGCGATGGTTGACAACTTTTACTCTTAATTCCATCATTAAGTAGGCCCAGGTAGGAGTAGGCCTGTCACAATAAGTAATTAATCAATGAATCACATGACAAATTAAAACGAGCTCAATAATTTCCATTTGCACAATTTTTCGTTTTTCTCTTTTCTCTCTTCCTACCAAAAACTGGATGACTGAAGTCTTTAGTCTGTTGCTTTGGTCTCAACTAGCTCAAATAGGGAGCTAGTTGAGTTGAGGAAAATTTGTAATTCTGACAGGCACGATAATGAATGTTTGGGCAAGGTTCTGCTGGGATACCTTACCCATCTGTTAACTAAGCATTGTTTCAGACTGTGTACACACCTTAGTGGAGACAGTTCTCCTTTATTATTAGTACTCCTTCATGACAATGCTCCCTCCCACAAATCACACAGAAATGGTTCAGAAATTGTCTGACTAGCACAATGATGAGTTTGGGATTGACTTGTTCTCCAGATCTCAATCCGCTTTATCATCTTTGGCATAAATTGAGCAAACAAGGCAAATCCACGGAGCCCCTCTTTTTGACCCTTAGGACAGACTGGCACTTTTAGGCAGATAGTCATAATGTTTTGGCTTGTAGGCGTATTTCCAAACTACTGCTGTTCTTTGAAAATGAGTTCAATGAAAGCTTTTGCAAATTTGTGACATTGTCTAAGTCTGTTGAATAAAACACTTAGACAGAAAAGAAAGACGAGGATAAAGTTCTCTACAGACTAAAATCATACTTCCTTGTTTCTACCATTTCCTTATGTTCATCTGGTTGCATCTATTGTTTTGGGAAAACCTTAACATAATGCGCTTTAACTGTGGAAGGTATTTGCTTGAAGGCAAGACGTTGGGGGTTTGCTTGAGTGAGTTTTTTTTTTTTTCTTTTTAAAGATAGCAGTCCAAACACAACAATGATATGGTAGACTGTGTATGAGATTCAGTGGGGGCTGGTCAGCATTGGATAGAGAACACAATGGCAGTGTTTGTTTGAAACCGCAGTTATCCTGAACTGATCTGACATCTGCACCCATTTCTGGAGTGCAGAATAACAGCCGAGTCCAGGGATAGATATATATCTCAAAGTTATAGTTGGGCCTCACAATCAACTAGTGCAATAGATTAGAGTTGATTTATTCTTTTTTTTGATCCATAAAACAGAGTCAGGGTGGATTCTAAGTGCGGAGCAGATTTTCTGAACCGCATTTTGTTCTTTGTCTAATAGGAACTGGTGTGCTTACGTGGTGACGAGGACAGTGAGCTGCGTTATGGAGGACGGGGTGGAGACGTACGTCAAGCCAGACTATCAGCGGTGTACATGGGGCCAATGTCCCCGGGTCCCGTGAGTATCTCCTGCCTTTTCATGTCCTCTGGTTTCCCCCTTCTCTAACTATGACGTTAGCATCAGTATTCATCCTTGTCCTGCTAACTTTCTGTCCTCTGAATTTACATCCTGTCTTCATCCATCGGTTTCCTGTCTAGAAAAACTCATTTCCCTCAGCTGTTTTCGTTTCTACTGCCCTACGAGTCAACAGAAGGTTCTGGATATAACTGAGCTAGCTGTATGATCAGTCTAACCTTAGAGTGCCATTATCCAGGAGCTAATGGCTAACATTTTATGCTAATGTTTTATGAGGATGACAGAGGGTGGACACATAGATGAGTTTCAGACTCATTCAACGAATTAGAATATTAATGAAAAGGATCATTTATTTCAGGAACTTTGTCACTAAGTGAAACACTTTGTATAGATTAATTACACACAGATTGATGTTTGAAAGCCTGTATTTCTGCTAATTATGATGATTATGAGATTAGCCAAAATGGTCAAGACAAAGCCAGTGATCAACTTCCAGGTGATAAATGAAGGTCTGTGTTTACCTGTGGTTACCATAACAATTAGAAAGTGCCTGCGTGAAGCAGAGCTGTAAACAATATGCCCCAGAAAAGTCCCACTGTGGAAAAAACAACAGTGGCTGAAGAGGTTTCAATTTGCCAAAGAACACACTGACTTGGCTAAAGACAACATTTTATGGATAAAAACAACAGTGGTCTTGTTGAGTCTAGAGGCTGCAGAAATGTTATCAGATAACCTTTAAACAAAGATTTTCAGTCATGGTAAAGTTAGTAGCATGGTGGCTTGGGTCTTATGGTATACATATGATATTCTCATGCCATAGTGTTGGGTTTATCTTGCATACATGAGATCATGGATCGGTTTAAAGGGGGACATCAAAGAGGAAATGCTTTCAAGTGGATGTTTCAACAAGGAGTCCAGTAAAGGAGAATCATCTTGGTTCCAGACCAACATGAGTAATGCTACGGCATGACCAGTCTATCCCAAAATGACAGTTTATTGTTTTTTAAGAGGCCAAACTTGTTTTGTTATGCCATTATTAATATATGGGTGTAATTTAGAAGCGTTTGGAAGCAAAAGTTATTACAAGGTTTTTCAGCTTTACTCACTTTTTTAGATGCAGCATTAGTGATTTAAACCCAATAGAGTCATTTGAAAGAAGGTTTGTTGCAGTTTATCTTTTACATGTTTGACCGAGCTGGTCAACCTATTGCTTTTGTCAGTATAACAGCCAATGTATTTATTTTACATTGGCTGTTATACTTCTAATTGCACTTACTGAAAAAATTACATTTGTGTTGTTTTTACGTGTTTGACCGAACTTGTGAAGCTATTGGTGTATAGCTAAACCTCAGATATTTGTGTTGGTGTGTCAGAACTGAAAAAAGTGGATCATTGCATCCGTAGTGCTAAGATGCAGTAACATAAGAAGATATAAGAAAAACCTCACAGGCATCCCAGGATCATGTTGCAGTGCAGAGAGTTGGTGGCCCAGTCTAGTCTGTCTCCTGGTCCGCTCCCAAAACTGCAAATCCACCACCAGAAATATGCTATTAACGGGACTCTGTAAGCGATTTTTCCAAATGTGGATGTTGCGCTCGCATGAAACCGTTACTCTGCCTGTGTTTCTCCTCTTTTGAAGTTCTCCCTCTGTTTCGACCTTGGCCCAGCCGTTTGATCCCCAGGCCTGCCAGGGGCCTCGGCGTAAACCCGGACTATGCTAAGAATGAAGCCAGTAGAGCTCCAGGCACCACAATCTAGTCTTTCTTCTTAAAAACAATCTCTTCTTCATACCCTGGCTCTCCTCTGGCTTCTTTCTCTCTCTTCCTTCAGCTCCATAAGGCTCATTCTACGCTCTGCCTCACAATGATTTATTTTTCCATCAGCTGACCTTTCTGTCACCTTGTTAAAGCAGCCTTTGCAACCTACAAACCTGTTTATGGACTGATACAAAAAGAGGATAAAAGTGCAGTGTGTCCTGGCCAGTGTGCCTCTAATGCTGCTTGCATCATGTATTGATATTTCTGGCTAATTCTGTCCTATGTCTGGTACTTTAACTGCGACGGGGAGACTCTTCAGGCACAGAGTTGAATGACACGTTCATGGGAAAACTGCAGCAGCGAGTTCCAAATAAAACATTTTACATATTTTTGGAGGCCATTTATGAGCAAGTGACTCTGATTTAGTATGAGATAAATCCAGTGGATTTCTGTTGGAAACGTTGAGAAATAAAAGAGGCAGGAAGAACATTTTAATCTCCAACAGCAGAGATTATCCTGTCTGTCGGCTGATAGCCAGCCGTTCATTCTGTGGATGTCAACAGTGAGCAAGAAAGCCTGAGTGTTCAGGAACAGTTACAGCTTACTGATTGGGATGTCAAATTATAAATTGAACATAAAAACAGGGAAATACATTTGCAGTCTCAAAATATACTAGAACTTCAAGCAGTTAGAAATGGGTTCCAAGCCCGACTCAGCAAGTCTCTACATTCTTCTTCCTGCGTCCGTCAACTCAAGCGAGGGTTAGGACTCCTTTGAGTTATTCCTTAAATCGATAGTTTTATGTAAAATCCAAGTTTTTTTTTTATCTTTACATAATGTTATAATATTATTTCCTAATCAAAAACTTGTAGTGTTGCGTTTATTCTTTCATACATGTTTGAAAAATCCTTGAATCTCCATGGTAACCTAGCTCCACCTTCGAGGCACAGCTCCCCCTCAAAGTTTCCAAGCTTCCTAACTTCTGCCTCACAGAGCAGCCCCTCCCCCACTCAGCTCCTTCAGACTAGCTTTCTATTGGTTTATCCCATGAAATGACTCGGAAATATTTTTCTGTGATCTCCAGTTACCGGACGTACAGGAGGCCGAGGTACAAGGTAGCATACAAGATGGTGACGGAAATGGAGTGGAAATGTTGCCACGGTTACTCAGGGGAAGACTGCCACCAGGGTCCTCACGGGACCCTTGACACTTGGGTCAACGGAGGGCAGACACAGACGCCACAGCCCGGTGGTGGAAGGAAGGGCGAACAAGGTATGACGGTTTAATGAAGTTAAAAGAAAAAAACGAGTGAAAAAAAGCTCGACTTCATGCTCCGTTCACATCCAGACTCTTTCTTTTTCTTGATTTGAGGCGAGAGCGAGAGAATCCAGGAGCTGCAGGACACGATCACCGGACTCAAAAAAGAACTCCATGACATGAAGACCACCATTGACGGCATAAACCAAAAGCTGTACGTGAATGTTGTCCATCCATCAAGTGCCTGTGTTACTGGTGAAGTGCCGTCACCTGCAGGCTGTAGTCCTGTTTACACCAGACCGGCTAGCACTAATACGTCCGTTTCTCCGCACTTCCTAAACCAAACATCTGTGCATAATTTACAGTGTCTCAATGTTTATGGCTGTTGGTCAGTTTTGGAGAGCAGACATCCTTCTCTAGTCAAATATACAGACTGGAAGAGATAAACAGTTCAGTCTGAACAAGATAACACGATAGCATGTAAATAAACCACAGAATCAGTGGCTTCTTATTTGTCCACTGGATACGCCCCCGTTCCAGAAATGTGTTGAGACACTAAATACTCAGGTTTAGTGTTTTGTCGCAGATCTTGATTTAGGTCTACGAACCTCTGCGTGTTCTGGTTTGCAGGCCCAGCCTGAACGGGGCCACTGTTCCTGCGGATTCAGCTCAGCCGTTCATGAAGGAAACCATCAACACCATACAGACCAAGCTGGACCATCTCTACAACAGAACACAGGTAATCCATATCATCGGCTTTAGTTCTGGTCTCTATGCCATTATGCAAAAATTGAAATTACGAGAATAAATTTGCTCAATGGAATCTCTTCCATTGCGCAATTTAAAAAGAAACTCAAATTTTTCACTGATGCTCTTTTGCTGTGTTCTGTTCCAAAGATCACTTGGTAAAAATTATGCTTGGAATTCAAGCTTGTATTAGTTTTGTCATAGCACGTTTTCCCACAGGGATTCAGGGGGTTTTATCTCTGGATGTTTTCTTTGGAAGAAATGGCCTCTGTCTTTCAACCCCAGTCCTTAATCCAGACAGATGGACAAAGCAGTAGATTGTTGTCATTTATAGATCATAATCAGTACTTGTCAGAAATCTGTCCAGATCCTTCAGTATTATAATCCACTTTCTGTCCTGTGTTTTCATCACTCTTAGAGAAGCTTCCAGTTTGAGGAATGTCACTGTTGTCCAAACGTGACGCAAACGTCTTTTTGTCCAAAAGATGATACCTGATCAAATTATTCAAAAGAATGAAAAACTGCAACACAGCAGCACATCTTCAAAAAGCCTTGTTTTTTTGTTTTGATTTGTTTTTGTGAGAAAATGATCCCTTCTGATGTGTTAGACCTGTTGTTCTCTTTCCTACATCAAATGTACCAAACTTTAAGGGACGGTGTGGTTGCGTTTCTGTGCCCTGTTATCAAAATATCAAAAACTAAAAGCTGACTTTTAAAAAACTAAAAAGCTGAAAACTAAAAGCTGACACAATCACAGGCCATAATCTCTGATTCTGTGATTTAGGTCCATGATGAGACACTGCTGAACATCAACAACCATTTGGGGAATGGAGGGGGAAATGACCTGGATGGAAATGTTGGGCCAGGAGGAGGAAGAGGAGGGGACCAGCTGAACACGCTGAAGGAGGAGATCCTGACTGAGCTGGAGAGAAGAGTCTCTCTGTCCTGCTCATCCTGTCAGGTACAGATAATCGGACTGTAATCAGATCAAAAACATATTCAGGTATTAAATTGTTCTGCTGTAATGATTATGCTGCACTACTCATGCAGCCTAAAGCAGTAAAACCTAATGGAGCCATGCAGAGTGATATATAAAAACAACCTTCTCAAGAAACTGATAAAATAAATTAAAAATGAGTTTAAGGCGATATTTGATAGAAACGTCTTCGGGAATTAAAGTTTCTAACAATAACAAAGCAATATTTAATTGTATATATAAAGAGCAACACTGTTTGCAAAATAGCAAATAGCAA